ATTAAAAGGAGCCTGTCCCTTTCTACTCCTCGTGAAATTTTATAAGCTCAAAGTACATATGGCGTTTTGGTACATCAAAATTACTTTAAGAAAATAATAATAATGAAAAAAAATTAGTGTTGATTAATTTAGATTAACTTATTAATTTTATAATATATAAAAATAATTTTAAAATAGTTTTAAAAAAATTATATAGAAAAAAATATAAATATTAATTTTTAATAAATTAAATATTAAATAATAAAATCTAAAAAATCTAAAAAAAATTAAGATTAACTCATATTAATTTTTAAAACTTATAATTTTAGTCATGAGTCTGGAGCCTAAACTCATAAAAAATAAATTTTAAAAAATAAAAAAAACAAGATTATAAATAATTTTTTTTTTTGGGATGAATTAAAAAAATATAATGAAAAAGGTTTTAGAATAGTAATAATAATAATAATAATAATAAATAGATTTAATGTAAAATTAAATTGAAATCAAGGGACAAATTAAAAACAAAATTTAATTAGAAAAATAATATAAATAAATAAATAAATATAAATTAAAAAAATAAGTACTATATTTAATATAAAATTTAAATAAAATTAAATAATAAAAGATAAATTTTAAAAATTACCAATAAAAAACAAAACAAATAATAAAAAATTATAATCAAATTAGATAAAACAATTATAAACAAATTAAATATATAAATTAATGTCATCAAACGCCTTCCAATCTAACAGGCTAATCTAAAATTAAGTCTGGATTGGGAATCCAAACAATTTAGCAGATTAACTTATAATTTGACTAATCGTTTAAACTTATAATTTGATTTAAAAAAAATCAAAACAAATCGTTCAAACTTAAAAAAATAAAAATAAAAATATAATGTTGAGGTGAATCGAGCTAAGCCGTCGGATTTATTACAGGGTCGTAAAACAGGCGAAGCTTAGTAAATTTGATATAAATTTCCCAAGCCCAACGACATCCTCACTTCATCCTTGTCTCGAAGGAAAGAAGAAGAAGAAAAAAATGTCAAGAAACCAGCAGCACCTTCTCCGGCTAGTCCTGTCTTGCCGAAAAATAACAGCTCAGGTATCAAATCCGACGACTTCCACAATAATCGCGATGGCTTCTTCCTCCGAACAAGAATCATTCCTCTCTATCTACCGCAACACTTCCCTCTCTATCTTCTCTCGCCAATCCTGGGACTCGAAAACGGCGTCGCGTGTTGGGGAGAAGTTAGGGTTTAGATTAAAGGAAATCGGGGTTAATAATATCTGTATTGATTTAAACGAAGAGTTGTCAAGGCCGATTCATCATAGAAAGCGTGTGTTGCCGTTGTTTGATTCGGTGAAACGCGTCGGCATTGAGGTTGACGGAGCTGAGAAGCTAGGAGAGATCGGTCCTGTTTGATGGATTGTGAGGATTTGATTGTTTAGTATACATTTTTTTATAAAGAGAGGTACTTTTCTTGTCTTTTTTTTTGTAATTGATTTTCCTGTATTTGATTTGATCTCGATAATTGTAGATTATGATGAAATAAATATCACATGAAAATGATGATTTTGATTGTTTTTGTTTCAATTTTGTGATCATTTTGTTTAATGTATATCAAATTAGTAAGAATCTTGAGATACTGCGTAGCTGGCTCAGTTCGAGAATGGCTTCTTAGGATTTATGTTATGGATCTGTAGCTGATTGAGGATAAAGGGTACTGGGTAATTGAGGTACATCGTGGTTTGCAGTATTGGTATGGGTAGACGGTGTGATGTTTAGGAGAATACGTGGTGAGATAAGGGTAGGCTTAGTGTTACTGGTTTGCGGGGTCATGTGAAATTGAGTGTATTTGCTCGGTTTGTTTTGATCTACATGCGAAAGAAAATAGTAGGCTTTGGATTGTTTGAACAATGTAAGTCTAGTTCTGGAATCTAGTTTGAATGCAAGTTGGTTTCGTAATGCTCGAATTGTTTGCTAGTTTTCAAGTTATTCCCACCTTAAATGCTTAATCTACATTTTTTTTATGATCCAATTCTGATTGCAAATGCGTCACGAACCCTGAGCTTTTTTTCCTTTTCAGGAGGGCATGTGAATTGGGTAATACTGGGTGTAGAAATGTTAATCTTTTGCAAGTGGATTTCAAGTATTGTTTCTTGACCCTTTCCTTTCATGCCAAGATCATGATTCTGTGGTTGTCAAATTTTATCTTTTGATCTTCTGCATTGGGCAACTCCTCTATTGAGTTTGAAAGTAAACCTAAATGGTGCTGTTTTGCTTACTACTTATGCCTCTTGAGAGTTCAAATATCTTAGTAGCTTTCCTCCATGATCCTTTTCTGGGTGTTTTGTGGCTGTTAGGTGAATGACTAAGATTCTTGTATCTGCTTGGATCCTTTATAAGTTAGCTTTGTGATCCTTAGACAGGTGAAAAGGTGCATAGGATGTTGAAATAGATGGGGGGAAAAAACAGAGCAAGAATAAGAGAAGTTACCGTAAAAAAGAAAGATGTGGATATGAAGTAAGAATACCATTGCATCATCAGTTACAGTCTTGCATCATTTTTCTTACATTGAGAAAACATCGTCTCCTCCTACTAACAAACTGAGTCTAGATTGGAGTCGACATCATCTTCATGGTATGATTTTCATGTATGTCAATCTTCCCTAATCTTCCCACCTATTTGAATGCTCAAGTGTATCAGCATAACCTAGAAACCCAAAGTGTCTACTATTAATCATACTAGAGTCATTTTAAAATCGCATCAAGTGATACTGATATGCAAAATCGCATTAAGTGATCCTGATATGCAAAATCGCATTAAGTGCTTCAAAACAAGCGATATCCTCCATCGTAGTCCCAAATAGCCCGTATTTTACAACAATCCCATCCCTCGCCCTCGCCCATTATCATCTCAATCCAATTAAATTACTCGTCTTCGTCAAGGCTACAAATTCAACATCAAAAACCTCACACAAGACCTTCCATACTCTTTAATGTAAACACATCACCGTTGGTGCAATTGAAGGTTTGATTCATTGCTCCATCAGTCACCGCTGCCCATATATGTTGCTCAGCTAGTACTCTTCCATCTGACATGTCACTAAAGTGCTCCCATGTTTATTTGTTCCCAGAATATCAAAACGATAACCCTCGGCATCAGCAAGTAGTGGCATGGATAGATAAAGTGAGCAACATGCTGTACGCACCTCTTAAAGAAGCTCCTATTATAATCCACAGAGATGAATTGAGTAGGTAACAGAAGGAGAATACGATGCAACCAGGTCTTGCAAGTCATAATAGAAATTAGGGTAAGGGAGTCTGTCTAGGTCTTCTTTGAAAGGTGGCTTGTAATGGAGAAGCTTGCCTGTAAGTGAAGGATCAAATATTGGACCCATGTTTTAAGTCGTGAAGGAGTAGCTGATTTTAGTGCATTCAGCACATTGTCTAGCTTGTTGGGAGTTCATGGAGATGTTTACCGCTTCAATCTCCATGCATTTGTAAGGAAACCCATAAGATGTGGGTGATTTCATGGGCCACTGGGAAGATTTTTTCTGTTGTATCGGCATGGTCCAAGGGATAACGGTCGATTAAGGAAGAGGGAAACCAACTTGGACAGGGATGCCTTGCTGCGCCACACCCTTTCCATGGGCTGCCTGGAGTTTTTGGCTTTTTAAGTGATTCTGCCCAGCTAAATCCTGCCAACACCCACAATCAGGACAACTGATGCACCTCGAGACTGGGGTTTTTTATCTTTTATTGTTTTTTTTTCAAAATATCACAGGGAAAAAAAATTATTTTGACAACTCTCACCCTTGCATACATTACGCATAGAAAATCACATGCAATAGAATGTGTACTGTGTTAGTTTTTAGATTAGTTGGGAAGCCCTAAAATGAGTTCATCCAAAATCAAGCTTGATCAAGACTTGGGTCAAATTTGCTAAGCTTAGTCATGTATGGTCCAATATGCCCATTTCTAGGGCACTTGCTAGGGCACAGCTTGAGCTAAAAAAAAAGTTTAGATTTTTTTTATATATATAATCATATTTTATCATAACTAAGCATTCCGTAAGATGCTTGGATTTGGGACCCAGGTTAGAATTTCAGTTCTTAGGCTAGACATTAAGCTGGGTTTTGGGGACTAATTATGATCTATGCCCATAATAGAAAAGAAAAGGAAAAACTATAGAAATTTATTAAATTAACGTTAATGATCTTGCTACCTTGTTTCATAAAATAAAAAAGAAAGGGAAGAAAGAAAGAAAGAGAGAAAAAAATCTATAAAACTTCAAGAAATTGAGAGGGGGGTGGGGTGGGGGACTGCTTTAGTTCAAGTTAATCATAAGAGATTGAGAGATTAAGAAATGTGAAAGAGAGATAGAGAGGGAGAGATCAAGAAAGAAACACAAGGAGGAAAATGGAGTATGGACATCGCAGTGAAGGGCCATTCAACTCTTGAGAAGAACAGCATAGCCCCAGAACTGGCCGGATGGTTTCTGAAATGCTTCTTATCAGCCATCAACATATTCTTAAAGAAAAGATCAAATGCTGCATTGTTGTTACTTAGCATTGCCACTCAAATCTCTCCGACCCAGATCAATTTGAATCCCATGCCAATTACTGCTCTTATCGCTATGATCAAGAGAATCAAAGTTAGATCCTCATCTTTATGATCCTGAAGGTATGCTGTTCTTCTCTTGATCTCGTGACAAGAGTCTAGTCAGGTAATTATCTTTTTAAATTTAAATTGAAACTCGACTGGGGTTAAATTCCTTGTCAAGCACGTTTTAGAAAATAAACAACAGCTAGGCGTTTGCATCCAAGCTATTAATTCTCAACAATGTAACTCTCAAGCATACATGCTACAGTCTAGATCAACAAAACTTGATCCCCTCTCTATTCTTGTAAAATATACAGGTTTGCCGAGCTGTTATTCACTGTATCTGTGATCCTTAACCACTGCATCTTCTTGCTCATGGAGCATCTATGTGGGAAGGATAGAAAAAGATAAAGTAAGGTGAGCTGAATAGTCAAAAGTGGTCATTAGGGTTTTTCTCTTTTATATGCTTTACAGGGATATAAATACTAGCAGGTGGAGATGAAAAGGAAGCTGGATTTTTATTTTATTTTTTTTCAGACTTGAATGGAATTTTAGAAAGGAAAACTCCCCAATTTAGCCCGTGTGTTTGTATACATTGGGAAATTGAGTCCCTGTAAAAAGATTTCATCAAATTCATCCCTGCGGTCATCACATTTTACTCTTTAAATGATAGATGTAGCCTCCAAGTTGATATTGTTTATTTTTGTGTTTTAAAGTATTTTTTAAAAAATTTAAAATTATTTTATTTTTTAATTTAAAACAATATTTTTTGTATTTTTAGATTATTTTGATATGTTGATAAAAATAATTTTTTAAAAATAAAAAAATATTATTTTGATATATTTTTTAATAAAAAATATTTTAAAAAACAATCACAATCACATATTCAAACATATTCTAAAAAAATAAAATATTTTTTCTATGTATTTTTTCTTTTCCTGGCAATTAATAAATGATGGAATTGCATGTATTGAGGACGTTGTCTGTCTTTTTTAATTATTAGCAAAATAATTTAGAAAGGCTTAGTTCCTTTATTGAAATTATAGTTATGTTTGGAAGTGTGCTCCAATTATATTTTCAAAAATTCTTGAATATTTTTTGAACTTTAAATATTTTTTTTAGTTTTTAGATTATTTTGATATAATAATATTAAAAAAATAAATATATTTTCAAACAAAAAATGCTTTAAAAAAAATATCTACCATACTCTTAAACATGCATTAAAAAGGATGAGTTCAACTACCATGAGAAAATAAAAAAGAAGAAATGAAAAAATAAAATTATAATTAATAGTGTTAGATCACTAACCTGCCAAGTTTTATAGCCCATATTTTTCAACAATCCCACGCTTTGCCCTTTCCCTTCCATCATCTCTCCCCAGTCAAACTTCTCATCTTCCTCGAAGGCCACAGATTCAACATCACAGATCTAACACAAGACTTTTAGCATGTTTGGATACATTCTCAAACCTATATTTTTAAAAAATTTAATTTTTTTGTTTATATTTAATATTTTTAAATCGTTTTGATGTTCTAATATAAAAATATTTTTTAAAAACTAAAAAATATTATTTTAATATATTTTTAAATAAAAAATATTTTAAATTATAACTATTACCGCAGTCTCAAACATACATCTGGAAGGCAGCTTTTCTACCGTGCAAACTATTAACTATAAATATTATTAATTTCTCGGCTGTTTTATTATGGTTGGAGGTCTCATCCATTAAAGTACAGTAAATTATATAGATCTACTCCAGAATACTTAGCAATCAGCTGAACTTGTGCCCGCCTGAGTGAGGCAACGGTAAAGCTTTATTAGAGACGAGGGACAAAGTGCTGTGATTGGCGCATTAATGTCCTCTTCGACTTTGTATGGAGTCTGGACACAACAACTGGGTAATATCCAGAGAGTGCTTAATTTGATGTCATTGCAGCTTCATGGAGTGGAAATATATGAAGGAATATGATGTTTAGCTTTCTGTACGTCTAGGAATGAAGAGGAAGCTAGCTAGACAGATAACTTGTTGAGACTTGAATGGAAGTTCGAATCGTGAAGAAATTGAGACCTTTTCTCCCACCACTTTCCTTGAACCTGTCAGGTAGTTGTCAGGCTGTGGACTAGAGTGCCCTAGTCTCTGGGAAATTAACAAAAGAACCCAGAGATTCTTGCCATGAACCCCATGGCTAGAGAGCCCTAGTTTGCTTTTTGGTGGACAAAACTGCTGGTTGTTGCCAAATTTTGTTTTGTAGTAGTGTGATGGAGAATCCAATGCCGTGTTTCCTAAGGCATCAAAAAGTGCATGGCCACCAGTCGATTTGCCATGGACACTGACATCAAAGAGAAAGGGACCAGCTGTGTTCATGGCCCTCGCAAAGCAACCACCAGCATGCCTCCATGCTGCCAAAGTATCGAACGGTCAATTTAGACAGATGTTTGAGGTTAACAGCCCGTATAACTTTATTCTGCTTGCCTCTCCTAGCATGGTTACAAGGCTAGACCAGACATTGGCCTGGCTCAAGACTCGGATGATGTTTTTTTTTTAAGTGAATCAACCCAGTTTTAATTTTTTAAAGGGAAGTTTATTGAATAATATTGTTGTTTCCATAAAAATAAAATATGATTTTTTCATTGGTCCTATCCTAACCTGGCTTTGTTGGCCCGGTTCGATTATAACATTGCTCCTTAGGGTTTTCTTTTTAAATGATCTTAGTCTCCTCTTTATGTTTTCATAAACAATTAACATTTAAATGATTTGTTGATCATTTTTTCTTAATTGTACGTAGTCGCATGTAAATTGATTAACACATGATTTCATCCCTAAACAGGTGGTTTTCAAGGATATATAAAATGTATTTGGCAGTGTAGTAGTTGTTATTTTTTAAATAATTTTTCGTAATGAAATATATACTAGTAATATTTTTTTATTTTTAAAAAATTATTTTTAATATTAGCATATCAAAACGATTCAAAACATATAAATTATATTAAATTTTAATAAAATTAATCTTTTAAAAAACACAGGTTAAACCGCGTTCTCATACAATCCCATAACAACATTAATGCCGCTCTCACTTTTTAAAGAGAGAAAGGATTCATTAATGCAAGAATAATAAATTTGTAAAAGTTATTGAAACATGTATTTTAAAAAATAAAAAAATATTTAAATTTATTTTTATATTATTTTAATATGTTAATATTAAAAATAACTTTTTAAAAAAAATTATTTAATATATTTTCAATTAAAAAATACTAAATTACTGGACACTCCATGAATACTGATGCGAGTAGACATGGTTTATTAACGTGGTACACTGTGTAAAAAAGCACATTTTTTAAAAACAATAGCGTTAACTTAACGGACACTTTTGTCAAAAGATTCAACGCCGTTAAGTCTTCAAAAGTGACCAAATTGTCAAAAGTGAAATAGTGTGGGGACACTTTTGTCTTGCAATAAAAAAACACTCTCATGAATCGCGGGACCGTTAGTGTTTTTGTCATTACTTGGGTCTTGGGATTCTTTTCCACGTTTCTTGCATGGTGGATTCAGGTCTTGCTGCTCTCGTCCATTTACTATAATTTTTAAAACATGATTTTAAAGCATTTTTTATTTGTAATTTTATTTATTATTTTTAAAAAAATTAATGCCAATATATAAAAATAACTTAGAAACATAAAAAAATTATAAAAAAATAAAAAAATAATGGGTATTTGATGTAAAGCACAGCTTTCATCACGTCAATTTCTTTGAAAAAAAAAAAATTAACGTCGCCGAAATTATAGTTGACGGGCCCCACTCAGAAACAAACTTGAATTTTTTCTCTAGCACTAGGTTATTAGTCAACCTATACATCATGACTCAACATTTCTTTTTATTAAATTTGCTCAATTTGGATTGATTTTGATTAGATAAACTAAGTTGTTAAAAATTCTATTAAAATAATTAAATTTTACATAGTTAATATCTTATAAAGTTTAACTAGAAATCAGCCTGAATTTGGTTTTGTATGGGAAGAATTTCTCAAGTTAATTTATTATTTTTAAAAAAATTATGTGTTTTTTTATGGTATCAAATTTTAGCTTTATAATTATTAGTATAACTACTAGAGACTTATATAGTTATTAATTTTAAAATATAAAAAATTAATTAAAATACATATATACTGATTCGGATACTGCATTAATCATATATATATATATATATATATATATATATATATATATAAATAGACACTTAGAATTTGTTGCAGATAATCTAATTAAGTAAATAAAATAACATTACCGTGTCTCGATTGTAATAATGAAAATCATAAAAAATAATAGTGATTTATATAATTTTTATTTCCTAAACAAAGAATCTAATTTATAAAGCAAAGAACCATGTGTTACGATTTGTTTTTGCTTATTTGCTCCATGACTTATTCAACTCTGGCTCGTCTTGGATATCTTCCTTTGACTTCCAAGAAGGTGCAAGAAGGGTTGTATCTTAACAAGAGAAAATTTATGATGTTTTATTAGCTATTTTTCTAGATGTATTTTTTAAAAAAATATACATAAATAAAAAAGAGAAATTATATATGAAGATATTGTTATTATTTTTATTTTCTCTTTATCTATTTTCTTCTCTAAGCAAATCTCAAAAAATAATTAATAGAAAATCATTAAATATTCATTAGGCATCGTTTAATTTTGTTGTGAATCAACCAATTTTAATGTCTATTTTTTTCTAAAATATATTTTGATTTTGATTTTTTTATAGTAACAAAAATAAATTATTTAGGATTGTTTAAAGGATCGGTA